GGCGCGTGCCGGGGGCCCAGCCTGTTGGACTCTGGCTGTGGCCAGTGGCTGCAACCCTCCCCCCACTCTGCTTTCTGCCCCCCTCTCTTCCCATCCAGCCCCCACTCCCCAATCCATCCCAGCTCTGCTTCCTGCCCCCACCTCCCAGCCAGGCCCCCAGCTGCTTCCTTCCCCCACCCACAATCATGTCTGTCCAGTATTTTGGGCAGGGAGGAGGAAGTGCTGTTGCCTGAGTGAGGACAGAAGAGGAGCCAGGAGGCCCTCACGCCTGCGCTGAACTTCCAGGCAGCCACAGAGGAGAGCCCCTTGGCAGGCTGCACGCTCAGCTGCCCCCTCACCCCGCTGCTCAGTCTCCTGGCTGCTGCCTCAGAGCCAGGCCTAGCAGAGGCTGGTTTTGATCCATCAACCTCTGGGTTATGGGCCCAGCTCGCTTCCGCTGCGCCACTCTGCTCCCTTGTGCTCAGGCTGCCCGCAATCCCATCTAGCACCGAGCACGCGCTGGTGCTGCCAGGCAGAGGAGCAGGCTGCTGGCAGGGTCCTTGCAAAAACGGGCAGGTGTCTATGGCTCAATGGGTCAGCGTGTTGAAAAGGTCGTGGTTTGAGTCCTGTCTCTGCCCTGTGGTTCGACTCCCCCCTCCCTCCAGGGCACGGTAAAGCCTGTGGAGCCTCAAGGCCTGCTGCCAGGCTCCAAGCACACCCTCCCCCCTTGCCGCCTCAGTGGGTTCACCTGCTGGCTGCAGAGATCCATCTCCCCTCGCTCAATTTAGCGGGCCTAGAAGGGAACTGCTAAATCGATCGCTGATTGTGCCCCCTCCAGACCCGTGCTCCACCAGCTCGTGAAGCGTATGGGGAGAAACTCCCCCGCGGGGGGATGCTGCGGCCATTCGAGCCAAGGGACGCTGATGCCAGCCACGCCACGTGCCTGGCTGGGGCGGTGTCTCTTCGTTCGACTTGTGCCCTCGGGCAGACCTGGCCTACAGCCGTTGACCATCGTGTGTTCAGGGCAGGCGTCCGGGAGTTCCAAGGCTGACGGGGAAAGTTGCCAAGCGTTTCTGAATTGCCAAAACAATCAACCTTGGCCTGGCCAATGGAGACACAAGCTGCTGCAGTCGTTGGTAGAAAGGAGAGCAACATCCAGCCACGCTCCCTGAGCCCTTCTGCCTACGGCCCCCCTCCTGTCCTGCCCCACTGTGATCGCTCCCTTCCACACCCCCTCTGTCCTGCTCGGCCCCCGCCGCTCCGAGACCAGAGGGCAGGGAACAAGAGCCCCTCCAGCCTTGGGGCTACGGTGGGAGGGAAAAAGGGGAGGAACTGATTTTTCGGGGGGGGCTGTATCCAGGTCACACTCACCTCTCACACGCGCCCCCAGACAAGCACATGGGCCTGCTCTCTCTCCCCACCTGTTGCTGGTGGGTCTTTGGTGACCCTTCAGTCAATCCAACAGGGCCAGGCACAGCTCCCTGGCTGAACGCTGGTTTCCATTCTGTTTTGCTGCTGCTTCCAGCAATAGCCACTGGAGGGCAACCGAGTATGACACATTTCTTTTAGCCTTTCCTTTTTTTTTTTGCATTCATTATTTTCCAGGACTGTATTTCTGTCTCAGCCAGACTGTTTCAAACAGTTTTTTTTTTTTACTGCTTCAAAGCTAGCCCCCGGCTGAGGTGCTTACCTCTCCCAATGTTCTTGTTGCCTCGTGTGCTCTACTTGGCATATCATTTCTAGAAAGAAGGCCTTGATAGCTTCTCTAAATGTGGCCTGCCTTGTCCCTACTTAACACCTTTCATTTCACGGCATTCAGGAACTTACGCCGAGACATGATTTTGAAGGGAAAAAAGAGGTGACCTACATACAGCGAGAGGTGTGGCTGCTTCATAAGGCAGACACCGCTACAGTTCTTAATTTGGGGGGAAAGCTGGTTGGCTTGGCGTGCTAGGGGCGTCAGGACCCACCAAATCTTTCTCTTTCTACAGATCACGCAGGGAGTTATTTCTATCGTGCTTAACTCATGTGGTTTGCACACTCCCCCGTGAAGTTGGTGAACTTCAGGATATGCAACGGCCACTTCTTTGGGTGTCAACTTTTGGGGCGTTTTTGAGAGCGAGAGAGAGAGAGCAAGAGGATGCACGGGGAAATTCTATCTGTAAATGATGGGATTATGTAAATTGAAACAATTGATGCTGTAGATCTGTAGGGGGAGCTCTTCAATGGGTGACTATAATTTGGACACATGGGGCATGTTTTAGATACAGGCAGTCCCCCGGTTACATGGATCCGACTTACATCGGATCCCTACTTACAAACGGGGTGAGACAACCCCGCACTAGCTGCTTCCCCCCAGCAGACCAGGGAGACACGGAGCGGCTTTTCTCAGCAGACACCTCAGCTTGAGAATAAAGGACTGAGGGAAGTGAGGTATGGGAGAATAAAACTGAGCTCTGGAGAAATGTTTGGCTAGAGTTTCCCCTACAATATGTACCAGTTCCGACTTACATACAAATTCAACTTAAGAACAAACCTACAGTCCCTATCTTGTACGTAACCCGGGGACTGCCTGTACTTCATTTCCACAACAGGCTGCGGGCGTGGGCAAACCTCCCCAGGTGCAAGGCTCGGTCTGCATGCACATGCAATAAGTCATGGGCTTCTCGAGCAGCCTTCAACTCCCTGAAAGGGGGTTCCACAGAGGCTGGAGAGAGGCTGTTCTCAGTGGTGGCAGGTGGCAGAACAAGGAGCAACGGGCTCAAGTTGCAGTGGGGAGGTCGAGGTTGGAGATTAGGAAAAACGATTTCACTAGGAGGGGGGGAAGCGCTGGGCTGGGTTCCCTAGGACGGGGGTGGAATCTCCATCCCTGGAGGTTTTAAGTCCCGGCTGGACAAAGCCCTGGCTGGGATTGGGGTTGGTCCTGCTTTGGGCAGGGGGCCGGACTCCAAGGCTCCTGAGGTCTCCTCCAGCCCAAGGGCTCGCTGAGTCTATGATCCTAACTCCCTATCAGAACCTCAATCAAATATTGCTCCCAAACGTAGACTCCCCCATCCACAGAGACACTTCTTGGTGAACCCAGTTTTTTTCACAGGAGGCCAGCCAGCACCTGCAAAGGACTCTGGGACGCACAGCAGATTCTGACGTCGTGATGTCATGGGGAAGGCACTTGCTTGTTTCGCACAGTTGTCAGGAATCTCTGGCCTCTGAGATCAGAGGGGATGTGCCAGGAGCCAGCCGCCCCGAAGAACCTAACGGAGAGAAGGCGATGGGTAATCAACCAGCTGGGTTAGCTGCTGCAGAGCTAATTGCTGTATTCAGGGAGCAGGCGCTGCGGGGACCTACAGTGTTGAGTCAGGTATTTGGCCTCATATTAACCTTAACCCTACTCTCCGTCCCACTCCTCGCCTCCCCCCTCCCCACGCATCCTCCCATGTGTCTGCTCCTCCCAGCTCTCTCAGGATGATGGAATTATCCCGTTGGCAGACCGGGCGCTCCCAAGCTAGTGCGGGTCTTCTGTTCTGTAATGTCCCGAGCTCGCTTTAGATGCAAAACAAATAATCGAGCTAAGGCCTCAGTTCTGGGGAGACGGGGAAATCCAGACGCGACAGGGTTTAGGAAGTGGCGCGTCAGTGCCAATGTCATCGCGGCAGGGCCTCGGTGCCTGGATTTCCTCCAAGGCGTACTGGCAGAGGGCATGGGAACAGCCAGATGGGGTCAGACCATGGTCTGGCAGAGGCTGGTGCGTGACACTCAAGAGGCCATGAGGCTGGCAGGGTGACTGTCTACTGCACTCCAGCCCCCCGCTGGAGTCTACTCGGGGTAACCGCCTCGACCGCCTCCGTTGATAGCCATTGGTAGATTGATCTTCCGTGAACTCCTCTAGTTCTCTTTGGAACCCACTTGTATTTTTGGCCTTCACAGCATCCCCCAGCTGCGAGGTCAGGTGGACTGTGCGCGGGGGGGAGGAAATGCTTCCCTGTGCTCGCTTTAAACCCGCTGCCTGTTAATTTCGTCAGGTGACCCTGGTGGCCGTGGTACGTGAAACGGCCAAGAGCGCGTTTTCTCCATAGCGTTCATGGTGTTACAGACCTTGGTCCTGCCCAGGGTGGTCTCCAGGAACGCGTCCAACCAAAATTGACAGCCCTAATCGCACCCCCCGCCCTGCTGTCATCTCTTGGCTGAGCTGATGGAGCCAGTGCCCTGGTGAGGCAGACGTGTGACGTGGCACAAAATGGAGAAGCAAAGCGGCCGCATTCCCAGACACACAGTATCCCCAGAGCTTGGTCTCTGCTGACCTCAGTATCCTGACTTACTCAGGTGGCCTCCCTGGCCTGGTGGCTCTGGGGTTCCTCTGACTCCAGAAGAGACCCCCGCCCCGTCAGGGAAGCAAGTCCCGAATGGCTCCCAGGGGGCATCAGGCCCGAGCCCTAGGCCCAGGTATCTAGTGCCTGGGAGTTAGGTGCCGTGGAGGCTCGGGGCCTTATCCCTGTTGTGTAAGAGGCTGTAGGGCTCTGTCTGAACCACAAAGTTGGGTGTGTGGGTGGGGGCAGATGCTGGACCAAGTCCATGGGATGTGATGGTTCCAATTAAGACCCAGTTCCCAGGGAGTGTTACCAGGAGCTCATGTGTTTGGTTGCAAACACTGCAGCAGCTGGAGCCAGGTGCCTGACTGTTTGTGTGTCTCTCTGGTTGCTCTGGCAACATTGGGGCACACGGACCCGGCCGGGAGCTTGCCAGAGTCAGGAGGTGACAGGGCCAAGCCTGCACCGCTCCCCGCCTGACTCACAGCCAAGCCGACTGAATGGCCTGTTTGATCTGAACTTGGGGGAAAACCCAGCCTCGGTGCTCTGCTGTCTGTGATGTTTCCCGCAGAGACACACACACACACACACAGGGCGCTAGTAGAAAAGGGGAGAGGTTTATTGCAGAGCCAGCTGACAGAGCAGGAAGGCCTTTGGCTGTGGCTCCACCAAGAAGGCAGGCGTCTCCTGAACACTGACCGGCGGTTCCGGGGCTGCGGCAGGCCCCACGGGATGCCGGTGAAACGCCGCACAGGCCCGCTCTCCAGGGAAGGCGCATGCAGGATCACAAGCCAAGTGCCCTGAGGGGAGAGGGCTGTTTTCCCGCTCGGGGCGGAGGTGCCCTGAGGGAGGGAGGAGGGGTTGTTACTCTCAGGGCAGGTAGCCACTTAAAAGCTGGAGGGGCACAGCCACGCGGCTGTGGGGCCAGGGAAGACGCTACCAAGCAGGGCTTCTCCCATCCGCCTCGGTACGCCGCCTCCCTGGGCACAGCAGCCTGGGGGAACGGGGTAGCTCAGTAGACGTGCATCCTGCGGGAGGTGGGTTTCTCACACCCCAAGAGAGCGTGAGACCAATCCGATCTCCTGGCGTAGACTGGCCTTAGCCGGAGGGACACAGGGGAGTGGGGGAAGGCCCCCCTGTCACTAGCACGAGGGACATTGGCCTCTGTAGCGGCAGCAGAAGGGACGGAGGCAGGCACCTGGTGGCATGAGTAAGAGAAGGCCTCGGTGTAACTAGAGGGGGGAATGCGGCGACCCCGGGAGGGGCACTGAGCTAAGAAGATCTCTTGGCACTAGCAGGAGGGCCTAGGAGTGTTCAGGGGAGAAGGCAGCAGAAGAGGCTCAGTGCCCTGGGGGCACAAGGGGAGGAGGTCTCGTTAGTGCGAGCAGGAGGGGCTCGGTGCCCTGGGGGCACAAGGGGAGGAGGTCTCGTTAGTGAGAGCAGGAGGGGCTCGGTGTCGTGGGGGCACAAGAGGGGGAGGTCTCGTTAGTGCGAGGAGGAGGGGCTCGGTGCCCTGGGAGCATAAGGGGAGGAGGTCTCGTTAGTGCGAGCAGGAGGGGCTCGGTGCCCCGGGCGCACAAGGGGAGGAGGTCTCGTTAGTGCGAGCAGGAGGGGCTTGGTGCCCCTATAACACAAGGGAAGGAGGTCTCGTTAGTGCGAGCAGGAGGGGCTCGGTTCACAATACATCCGGAGTGGATGTAACATTGGGAGCAAAGTGCAAGGCCAGGTCAGGTTCTAATCACATCAGCCCGTGGTGACCAGAGGCCGACTCGCCGTGACGCCGTGGCTAGGAGCTGGGCCCGGCCTAGTCTGCAGGCGGCCGGTTCCCAGGGCTGATGTGATTGAAGGCCCAGAGGCCGAGGAGGGTCGGTGGCACTTCCAGGTGTCCCTATTTCTTCACTTTGGCGTCGTAGGTGCCGGCGTGCTTGTAGATGTCCTCCCGCCCGCTCTCCCCTTGGCCCTTGCCGCTCTCGTCGAAGCGCTCCTTGTGCGAGCCCGTGTACTTGCTGGTGTCCGTCAGCCTGTCCAACGCCCCCCCTGTCGCGGCTTTCTGTCAGTGGGAAAACGGGGCCCAGAGAAGCAGTTACAGCCCAGGCCCTGCCCAGTGAGTGCCCCTGGTCCACCCCGCTGGCCCGACACCCCTATTCCCCCGGCGCTCTCCCAACCCCCATGCTCAGGGCTCTGCCCTTTTTAGATGGTCTCAGGACTCCCAGATCCCCTCCCTCTTCCAGGGTGCTCTGCTTTGCTATGTGACATTCCTGGGGCTGCCAGCGTCCGCATCCCCCACCCCCGCCTAAGAAGAGCCACCACTCACTGTGACGCCCACGTTAGTCGGTTCCTTCCCTGCCACCAGCTGGCAGATGGACTCGTACGCTTCCTCCGCGCTCTTGCCCTTAAACCTCTTTGGGGCCAGCTCCTCCAGGGCCTTCTTGAACTCCTCGTAACTAATGACTCTGGCGGTCTTCCCTCTGCAAGGCACAAGGCTGGGGGGTGACCTCATGCAAACACATGGCTAGAACCGGAGCCGTTAGTCGGTTCCTTCCCTGCCACCAGCTGGCAGATGGACTCGTACGCTTCCTCCGCGCTCTTGCCCTTAAACCTCTTTGGGGCCAGCTCCTCCAGGGCCTTCTTGAACTCCTCGTAACTAATGACTCTGGCGGTCTTCCCTCTGCAAGGCACAAGGCTGGGGGGTGACCTCATGCAAACACATGGCTAGAACCGGAGCGGCTGCAGGGGAGACCCCGGGGCTGCCCTTGCAGACGGGATGTAGGCCTCAGCTGTGGGGGGGCAAGCTGCTCCCCGGGCAGGAGGTCTTGGGGGCGGGTGATGCCCCAGTTACTGAAACAGGTGTCACGTAAACCGGCTTAGAGACACAGGGACGTTCACCCAGACATGCAGCTGCTGCTGAGCGGAACCTGGCAGCTGTTCTACAGAACAGCCTGGGCCCGGAGCAAAGAATCTCTGGTCTGGCAGAGGCTGCAGGAGGCAGGAGGGCTGACGCGCCAGGGCTCATGGTGCTGTCAGGGCCTTGTCCTGACCTGCCAGCGGCACAGGGCGCCCTGCCCCGGTGCAGGGTCTGTATGGATGTGGAGAGGCTGCTGGTGGGGCCCTGGCAGGCATTAACGCCTTTGCTGGGGCTGGCCAGCTCACCGGACTGCTCCCATTTCCAGGCAGGGGCAAACATTCCTGTGCCCTCTACCCCACCCCCACGGAGCTGGCAGCCACACCGCCTGTTAGCATCTGGGCTTCAGGACTTGATCAGACTGAAAACCTCCGTGGATCCCGTCCCCGGGGAACGCTGGCGGGAGGGGGGAGGGGGAATGAGAGAGACTTTCCTCTTGTGGGATTTCGTGGGGGGGGGGGGGGCCTGGGCTGAGGAGAATGACTCTGTAGCCCAATGGTTAGAGCCCGCGGCCAGGGAAGGCAGAGACTCACATTAAGACCCTGCTCCAGTGTAGGCATGTCACAAAGTGGCACAAGCTCCCACGGCAGAGCTTGCGAGAGCCTTGGAGGGATGGAAAAACCGCCCCAAAGGGTTAACTGGTCAAACGATTTGTTTAACGGGTTAACCACGGGCCGTGGGCGGGGGCTGCTCCGGCCAGCGGGCCCTGCTGGTTAAGCGGTTACCCAGTAAGCATGCCTTCAAGGCACGTGTTTACCAGGTAACTGGTGAACCGTTAGCATCCCCAGACCACCGTGGCTAGAGTCTGGGGCACTCAGGCCAGTGCCCCAGGGCCTACAGGAGAGCTCCAGCCCCGCACTACTTGGGCACTGCCTTGTGGGGGGCTGCGAGAAAGGAGTGACCCGGGTTAGGTGACAGGCGGGCTCAGTTCCCCCTCTCTCCCCAGCATTTCCGGCCGCCTCTTGGCTTCTGTGGATCCCAACCCTGGGCACGCAGCGCCTGGGCCACAGGGGACAACGGAGGCGGGGTAACGCCATGGGTCAGGGGTGCGGAAAGCCACGTCCCAGAGCAGCGCGGGGAGCCAGCCCACGCCCCGTGCAGGCAGCGCGAGGCGGAGAAGGTATTCTGCAGGGGGAGGGCTCTCTGTGCAGATGGGGAGAGAGGGTATGTCTAGGCTTCCTATTCCGAACTAGCTGTACACCTCGTTCCACGTTCCATGAGGCGTACAGCTAGTTCGGAATCGGAAGCCTAATCCGAACTAGCTAGTCCGTGCGGCACGGGGTCCGAACTAGCCGGCATTTAAAAATGGCGCCGGCCGGCATCATGCAAATGAAGCCCGGGAAATTCAAATCCCGGGCTTCATTTGCAACTCTGAATGACTCCATTACCCCCTAGTTCGAACTAGCGGGGTAGTGTAGACATACCCAGAGTGTCCCGAGGGGAAGCCCACCCCACGGGCAGGGAAGAATCCCTCCATGCCTTTAGTCCCACCTCTCCAGCAGGGGTTTAGGTGTGACAGGAGAATCCCCCCATCCGCCCTAGCGGTGTCGACGCTGGCGCTACCCTGAGCAGTTATAGAGATGGGCCTGCTCTCTGCCCATGCCTGCCTGCCTAGCGCCGGGCTGTGGAGTTCGCTCGCTGACGGGGCCTCCTTGGGTGTTACCGTGCGGATAAAGCCTTGGGCTTGTCTGGCATCCCTAGCAGGGAGGATGGAAGGCCCCATGGGGGGTGGGGGAATGTGGGGCTGGGGGAGGCAAGTCTCCAGCCCTGCCCCTTCTGCCAAGCTGTCCAAGGCCTGACCACGGGGAGGTGGGTGCCCCAGGGCAGCAACACTCCACCCCAGGACGCCTACAGTAGGTGTTCGGGGGGGGGGGCTGGCAGTTTGGGAAGGCTGTGCCCTCCCCTGCCTCCACACCGGCGCCCATGGAAGGCCCCACACAGTGACACGCTCTGTGGGCAGTCACACCCAGACTCCGCCGCGAGGCCTGCCAGGAGCATTCTGGGTGTTCAGCAGCCTCGGACACGCTTCGAACGGAGGCTCTTACCGAACCAGGCCTGACAAGGAATCATCCCACAGCCCCGCCTTCCTTATAGTCTCAGCTCGATACGGGCCAGCCCCACACCTCCAGCTGTCAGGGTGTGTTTCTGAATGGGGAGCGAGTAATTGGCCCCAGAGCATGTCAAGGCCAGGTGTGCAGGACAGGCGTGCGAGGGGCAGGCCAGGTGTGCAGGACAGGCGTGCGAGGGGCAGGCCAGGTGTGCAGGACAGGCGTGCGAGGGGCAGGCCAGGTGTGCAGGACAGGCGTGCGAGGGGCAGGCCAGGGGGGCAGGCAGGCGTGCGAGCTGACTGCTCAAAGTATCAGCACTGGCAACACTCACAGGTGCACTGAAATGGCCAGGCTGAGTTACAGGGTTAACCGGCCAGTAGAGCTCCTCTCAGAGCCGCTGTCTGTGGGATTCAGGCAGGTATGGCTACATCCATCACCCTCAGGCCCCAAAGCCAAGGCCTTCCTCTCGATGAGGGCTAGAATGGTGTGTGTCCATTGACTGCTCAAAGTATCAGCACTGGCAACACTCACAGGTGCACTGAAATGGCCAGGCTGAGTTACAGGGTTAACCGGCCAGTAGAGCTCCTCTCAGAGCCGCTGTCTGTGGGATTCAGGCAGGTATGGCTACATCCATCACCCTCAGGCCCCAAAGCCAAGGCCTTCCTCTCGATGAGGGCTAGAATGGTGTGTGTCCATGTGAACGTGTGCATGCGTGTGCACCTGTGCGTGCGCATGTGTGAACGTGTGTGCCTGTGCTCACACGTGTATGCAAGAATGCGCGCATGCACGTGTGCACACTCATTAGTGACTGCATGTGTGTGTGTGCGAGCACAGGTGTGCGTGTGAGTGTGTGTGCACGTGTGCACAGGTTATGAAAGCTGAGCTTCCATTATCAATGTGCACAAGAACCTGTCCAGGCTCCTCTAATCACAGCGAGTCCGACAGGGCTGGAGAGGGCCGGTGGGGGTGGATGGGGAATGGTGTGACGGTGGCTGACCTAGCAGCCAGCACAGCAGGAGCCAGGCTCACGGGGAGGGACGCAAGGGGGCCGCTTACTTCACTTTGGAGAAGACGATGTCCACGTCCGTGCTGGTGACCCCTTTGCCGTCCATGACTTTACAGTCCTTGCACAGTTTGGCCCAGTTTTTCCCATTCATCTCGTGCCCCGCCGCTTTGGTGTCCCCATAGATGGCGAACTTGCGGAAGGTGTCCTCCAGCGCCGCCATGTCTGGGCTCCCCGCCATGCCGGCCACTAGCAGGCGGAGGAGAAACGGGTCCCGTCAGGCAGGCAACCTCCAGCAATCACCTCGGAGGCTGTGCCCACCACCTAGGCCCCCCCACCATGCACTGCTGCTGCCCCCAACCCCTTCTCCCCCCCCCTCCCCACAGAGCCGCGCAGGCAGATGTGGCGGGGGGGCCTAGGAGGCAGGGAGCTGAAGGTCCGGTGGGTGGGGCATTTGTAGAGCGCTGTGCGGGGGCGGGGGGAAGGAGAGGCATTGGTGGGGCTGTAGTGGGTATGCTCGCCGAGCACCAGCAGAGCCCAGCAGGGTATTAAGAACGGTGCAACACGGCCTCTCCTCCCCCTCCAGACAGCGCTGCGCCGGCTGACCGGCAGGGCTTGTCAACCACAGTTGCCCCTCGAGGAGCTGCTCCGATTTTTCACAGAGATTGTGGCCGGGCACCTCAAATGCCCTGGCCACTCCCGGGGCAGGTGCCTGCATGCGGCAGGCTCTGTGCACAACGCAGCCGCTGCGGGTCGTCCGCGGGGCCGGGCACCCGTCATGTGCTGACACCCGCGTGACTGTCCCCGGCAGGGCGGCTCAGCTCTGCCTACACGCCCTCCGGGCTGGGAACCCGGCTGGGAGGGGACCCACTCGCTTAAGGCACCTCTCCGGCGTGCGGCTGTGACGTGGCCTCCCAAGGTGACCCCGAGGAGGGGCCCTACCATGCTAAGTCCTGCCTGGCCAGCTGGATGTAGCACTTTAGTGGGCCTGTCAGCGAGAGCCAGGGCCGAGCCTTTCCCCAGGATGCCGGGTGCCCAGCCTGGGACCCCAGAGAGCACCCCCACTCCTGCTGGCTTCCAGTCCACCCAGCCCCAGGGCAGAGCCACCAGGCCTGGGTGGGGCTGGGGTAGGGCCTAGCCCCGGGGCCCTAGTTACAGCCTGACATTAAACAAAAACAGGCGTGTGGGCTTGTCCGCCGGCCAGGCCAGAGTTTGCGCTGCCTGGCGACTGTTGCTAGGGAGGGCTGTGCTGCCGGGAGAGGTTGCCGTGGAGGCGCGGTGTAGCGGGGCTGTGAGCATTCGGAGTCCCTCGGGACAGAGAGACAGGGCGGGTGAGGTCATAGCTGTTGTGGGGCCAACTTCTGCTGCTGAGAGAGACGCGTCGGAGCCCCCCGGGGCTTGGCTTTGGGGCTGCGAAAGGGGCTCCCCACGCTCTCACATCACCCGCCTGGTCTGTCACACGGCGGGGGCTGGGAGGCCTGCCCCGCCCCCTCACGTCTGCTAGGGCCAGGGCAGGCTCGCAGGGCTCCGGGCGGCACAACTGCCTCAGGGCCACTACGCTGGGCCGGCGGTGAGGGGCCTCGCAGGCAATCACACCTAGGGTGGCACGTAAAGGTGCACACACAGCCGCACTGGGACACATGCGTGTACATAGGCACACAGCCGCACTGGGACACACGCGTGTACATAGGCACACACAGCTGCACTGGGACACCCGCAGGTACGTATGCACACACAGCCGCACTGGCACACACACGGGTATGTATGCACACATCCACACACTTAGAGTCACACGTGTACACATGCACACACAGCCTCAGAGACACTCATGTGTATGTATGCACAAACAGCCTCACAGAGACACACACATGTACACATGCGCACACACACACACGTACATATGCACACACAGCCTCAGAGACACACATGTACACTCGTACGTATGCACACAGAGACACACACATACATACACACACATAGCCTCACAGAGACACACATGGGTACACACTCACGCATACACACAGGGAGACACACACATGTAGATATACATATCCACACATGCAGACACACACGTACAGATATGCACATATCCACACATGCAGATACGCACAGACCCACACACGCAGACACACGTGTGTAGATATACACATCCACACGCGCAGAGACACATGCATGCAGATACGCACAGACCTACATGCGCGGAGACACCCACGCACAGACAATGGCCACGATCCAGGCAGGGCCTCATGGCCACGCCTGCGAGCGGTGGTGCTCCCCGTCTCTAGGTCCAGGCGCCCGGTGGAGCTGGGCCACGCCTGCGGGAGGCCTGGGAGGCGGTGCAGTTCCCAGCATCCAGCCTTGCTCCTGAGGCCTGGCTTGGCCCAAACAGCTGCAGGCCATTAATCAGCAGGCGCTTACCCTGCCAGCCAGCAAAGCCGTGTGTCGCAGCCCCCAGAGCTGTGTGCTCCCAGAGGCTGGGCCCAGCTCACCCAGGCCATGGGCCTCCAACATGCCCCTCTCCTGGCCTCAGGCACCTTTGGTCCCCACCCAGCCCCACGCAAAGGATCCTGTAGCGCTCTGTTTGCCACAGGGATGAGGACAGGGCCGCTATTCCAACCCGCCGGGGTTCTGCAAAGCACAGCCTGGCGCCCCGGCGTCTGTGCTGAGACTAGCCCTGGCATGCTTGCCTCCAGGCCTGGAGCTGCCCCCCACACCGGGGAAGAACCGAACTTCTGGGCCAAGATTGGGCCCTGTTTGCCCAGGGATTCTAACCCGAGTGTTCACCCCCGATTCTCACACCACCGAGCCACTCCCTTCTGGCTCTGCCTTCTCTTTCACTAACATCATCAGCCTCTGCGCTGGCTGCGAGCAACAGGGCCCCAGAGACGGCCCTGGCCAGCTCCCCTGCCAGGAAGGACCAGTCCCTCCAGTGGCAGGACAGGGTGGGAAATGGGGGTAGGGTGAGGTGCAGCCTGCTGCTGCCAAGCTGGCTCTGCTCCCCCTGGAGAGGAACTTTCTCCCCAGCCAGTCGCTCTGCCACCTTTCAGCTCAGGACTGTCTACACCCGCTCTGGCCGGCCGGATTTCCAGACCTTGAGTGCAGGGCGGAGCAGGGCGCTGCTGCAGGCTAGCAGCGGGCAGGGTGGGGCTGCAAGGAGGGGAAGATGGCAAGGGGAGGAAGCTGCCAGCAGGACACAGACCTACCAGTTATCTCCGTCTCCCTGAGCGCTGCAGATACCGGGGGAAAAGCTGAGCGGAGGGGTGGGGGTCTCGCTGCCACGCCCTGAGAACGGCACCACGCAGGGTCCAGGGTGGGGACAGGTTGCAGAGCAGCGCCAGGGTCCGCACCCTGGCACCGGGAGATCTGGCTCCTGCACCTGGCTCTGCCACTGCCCTGCTGGTGCTCCAGGGCCAGTCCTGTCTGGCCGGTCTCAGTTTCCCCAGCTGGGAGGGGGAGGCTGGGTCCTGCCCCTGGGCTGTGAAGTGCTCAGAGAGCCAGGGCTGAGACGCACCGCGGGTGGGAGAGCGCATGCAGGGGCGCACGCCCAGGCAGCAGTGGGGGGCTGTGTCTGCAGGCTGGGGGTGTGGGCTGTGAAGTGCTCAGAGAGCCAGGGCTGAGACGCACCGCGGGTGGGAGAGCGCATGCAGGGGCGCACGCCCAGGCAGCAGTGGGGGGCTGTGTCTGCAGGCTGGGGGTGTGGTCGGGCGACGCCTGGCCGAGGGATGCGCTGCAGGGGGCTGCCCGGCACGTTGCCTTTGTCTGCTCCCTGCGCCGGGCGGGGGTCGGGAGCA